GTCATCGACGTGTGAAAGGGTAAGTTAGTTGAAGTTTCCGACGTTGTGAAATCAACTTCTTCATTGTTCATCGTCATGAACTGAGCTTGGTAAGTGACTAAAAACCTTGATTTATGAATTAAAATATATTTTTAATTTTTTTTCAGCCACTAGGGCCGCCACAAGCTCCCTCCTGCGCCATCCCTACGCGTTGGGCTTTTCCATCAACTGGTGGAGCTTCTAGAAGCGGGTCAACTTGACCCATATCTGACTTGACCTATGTATCCGTCCAGCCCAAACCCATCTAGCCCAATACGAAATCGGTCCAAATCTCAAACTGATATAACTAACTCTAGTTGAATCTGATCGAATTGGTCCAGTCAAGTCAAGCCGAGTCGTTAACCATTGACTACCACCGTTGACTGGTGTTGACTTTGATTGTTGACCAAAATTGACTGTAACACCCCATACCCGTTCTATAAGACCAACCTGGGTACCTGAGTATACATTCAGTTCCAATCATGTTGGAGAAAACAAAATCCTAAATTATGCTAATTATGCGGATGCTTACAATTTAAAATCAAGCTAGCATGTAATATGTGGCAACAGAACATATCCGTTAACATGAAATCATGTATCAAAAGTGACGGAACGTAAATATCGCAACATACAGTCAAGGGTAAAATGGTTATTATTAACACTAGAGGAATTCTAATTCAATTAGTTAAATTGAGTTTACCATTTCATATTATTAGTCCTTAATTATCAACACACAAATTTTCAAGCCATTCAGACATCAAACAAGTGCTTAATTAAACATGCAAGCTTAGGGACTAAAACGTAAACTATTTAAAAGTTGCACACAATCAACAAACATGCAATTGAAGTACCCATTATGAAATTAAGCATATTTAAAGAGTGATAAAACAAGTCCCAACAAAATTTGAATTATCGTCTAAGATTAATTAGTAGGTCATTTCCTGGACCATATTAAACTCACACAACATTCAGGGGGAACATACTTGAACTAAGAAACATTTCAGGCCTTTAATGAAAGCAATTCCACCTTTTTCCATCGGGCTCAACAGCGAAGGGATTGATCTTTTTTTAGAGGAATCAATCTTTTTTCATGGGGGTCGATCCTATGGTGGATAGTAAGTTTGGGATCAGTCTCTTAGGTCAAGGGATCGATCATTTTTAAAAATGGATCGATATTATTTTTAAAAAAGGATCGATCCTTTTGCTGAAAAAGTGCAAAATTCTCAAGAACGTGTATTTTCAAGTTGTCATACATCCACATAGAAGTTCCTATAAGCTAGGATCATGCTTAAATTCTATCAAACCACTTCATATAGGTCAAAACACAAGTGTAGCATGCTTCATAACATACGTCAACTCATCATACAAGAATTTGGCATCAAAAGTCAAATATTGCATAAATGTTCATCTTTAGCATAAGTCACCTACTCAAATTTTGCATTTTGGGTTATTTCATGCTACCTAAGAGACTAGCAAGTTGTTACACTTGTTTAGATTCTTCAACCACTTATTTAAGGTTCAAATCAACATTCGAGCATTCACATGCAATATTTAACCAAGATCATGCATATCAATCTCCAAAACAACAAATCAAATCATCGACAAGTCTCTAAACTAAAATCAATCATCCACAACACAAGTGCAATTATTACAAATCAATATAACAACAAAAGTCTAAGCCCCTAAACATCTCCCACATTGCCACTATTTATTTTCAAAACCACATACGCTTCACTTGAATCTTTGCATTGCTTGATCAATTCCGGTGCTAGCCCCTCACCTCCAACTCGATTCTAATCCACTGAAAAAATGTTAAACAAAGAGTGTGAGTTGAAAAGCCCAGTGTATAACAAACATTCTAAGTCAATGCACATAGTAAAGATGAAGCAAAGTCCTATGTGCACACACCTCACTTGTTTTTACCTCAACATAAGTAGAATTTTGTTATGCTCGGATGATCATCTATTTTATACTAAAAGTACTCAATTTCCAGAATATTCAAGTGCCATTAAACCATACAATTCAACAGCAAACACATACACTCATGCATAATTACCTTCCTCGGTAAGAAAAACACAATGCATACATATTTTTCCATTTAAAGATCAATTGCCTTTGTTCAAAACACAACTTACCTATTGAATAAACGGACTCCATACAACTCTCATTTTATTTACGGACTCACATAGGTCCAAAACCATGAAATTACGGAGCAAAGCTCAACGCCCAACCTTACCTCGTGACTTCTCAAAGCATAGCTCAACGCACCAATCAAACCCTGTATAATCCAATCACACACACATATAAAATACATATAGTACTCTTTCCTAGGCATTTCTTTGATATCCATAGGTCCCATTAAGAACAACTAGCCAATTAATCCAACTTACCAAGAGTAGTTGTCAATGATGCATAATCAAAATTGGTTGTTATGATCGACCCACATTATGGAAAATGAGAACATTCGACTCTTCCAATCTCATATTCGCATTATATATAGATTTTCAGAAATCATTTCCAAAATTCTATGTATCATTTGCAACACATCACATTCACATTTCTTATATATGTTGCATCACACACAATGTAATTCAATCCACATTATCACTAACAACATTAATTGAATCACAAAATCAGAATTAAGATCAAGTATTAAATCAATCTACACTTTCCTTAACCTTGAACACATCCATTCTCAAAGAATGAAAGTCACTCATCTTGTTATCCGATAACCGAAAACGCTAACCAAACACTCACCAAAACACAAAGCACAACTCCTCCTCAAAATCTAACACATAAAGTACCTTGAAAAGCAAAACAACATATTAAGACTAATGCTAAAATAAAGCGGAATTTTATGTTCCTAAAACATAGCGAAAACGTCGAAATTACTGAAATCCTTACCGAAACAACTCTCTGAAACCTCTGATCCGATTTGCATCACTTCTCCTCAATAAAAGTTGATCAACAACAACTATTACCAACATCTAATCCAACTAAAACCGCACAATTGAACCTCTATAACTCTTAATTCCCAGATTCCCAAAAAATGTCGAAATAAAACTTGTTTTCAAGAAATCGATATCCAAATCAAAAACAATTGAAAAATTGTTTTAATGTGATAATAATAATCTCAAAAACATATCAATTCCATCAAGAAAACCTAATAAACACCTCAATATCTTTTTAATGTAATAATAATAATCAGAGTTCTCACACCTATACAATTGTGTTCCCGATGGTGCTAAATTTCTATTTAATTTATTTATCTAAATTGTTCTGAACTTTGATGATACTAAACATTTTAGTGACATGATCTCTGATTTATTGTATATCGATTATTGAATTATGATTTACCGTATATTTCTGGCATGATCTTTGGTTATTTTATTTTTCTGAACATGATTTTAAACTATTGATTTTTTCATGTTTTGATATTAAATTAATGTTTGACTAAAATACATTCATATTTAATGTCATTAGGGGTATTGTTGGAAGAAATATTTCAGGTTTAGTCTATAACTTATAAGACCTTATTACGAGACCCTATGCTTTGTGCATATGGTAAGTCTTTATTGCAGGTCCTTATGCTATAAGTATAAGGTCATTACCAGGTGTACATGTGGGTGTATAGTTTAGGGGAACCTACACATTATGGTGTTCGAATTGAGGTAGTGATCATGTTTTAAAAATATGTTTTATAAATTAATTTTTATCGGAAATTTTTATTTGTATTTTTCTGTATGCACTGCAAGGAGCACATTTGGCTTTTTTAGCTCACTCTTTAAATTTTTTAACCTTTCGGATATTACCAAACAATAGGCTACCAAATTTGATATTAGGAAGATCGATTGTTTCTCATTTCTACCCACTGTATAATTCTATATGTCATTTCTGTTATATTTTGGTGACACAGGTTTTTGCTACAGTCTTTAATAGTTGTATGATCGGTATTTTATTTTGGACATATGTTATATGGATTTTCGATGTTGACATATATATATTTACGGTATAAACCTTATTGTTGAATATTTTCATATTTTCTCGTGTTATATATATTTGAGGTGAGAGAATAATGTTGGGTGTATCCCTTTTAATTGGAGTTATGAAGATATATCACATGTTTGATGAATATATTAATTGAAATTGTATTTTTTAAATGTATTTCTGTAAGATGCATTTGTTTAGAGATCCTATATGATAACTATTAGGTTATCTTATTGTTCTGCCGGAAATATATAGTTGACATTGGAAAATCTCTACAATATTAGAGAATTATAAGAAGAGAGATGGAAACACATCTGAGTAATAGAGAATATACATATTCCCTCGAGTCAAAGATAGAGAGCTAACATTATCGTGACATTGTCTTGATAGTTTGTTGAGAAACTTTGTAAATTATTCGTATTGAGTGAGATATCTTTATAACTTTACTTGATAATAGAAGATAAATTTTGCACTGTGCTGACGTGTTGAAATATCCAATATTATAATGCTTTTAAACATTTATTATCAAAATCCTAAAAATTGAATAAAAGTAATGTAGAAGGTGAATAAGTCAGAAGCCATTTGCATTTCCCTCATTGCCGATCATTTCCATGTTTATCAACATAATAATATAACCTCCATCTCTTGTGATTAGTCTATCAATGACAAGAGAAACAAATCACCAAAATAAACCAACCTATAAAAGTCAGCCACGCATGCATATGCAAAATCATTCATGCACCCTCAATGTACCACAAAGAAATTAAAATTAAGTAATTTTAATTTCTTTCCATAAAAACAAGACAGAAAAAAATAGTTTCCATAATTTCCCTCTCGTTTTTGAAACCCACCAAAGGCCAAAACCCCAACTTTCCTGTCACATAAATAATAATAAAAAAATCTTCTTTTTTTGTTTGTTTCACATATAAATAAAGAAGAATTTTTGCCAATTAAACAAATATTTTAACTTTTTCCAGCTTTTGCTTTACTGTGTAATGCAACTAGAACAATACAAAAAGGAAGCTTCAGCGATGGATAGAGTGGAAAGTGACGAGCTTGAGTTGTCTTTACCTTATCCCCTTCAATATATTGGCGACACCCTTTGTAAGCTGACGTCAATATACATCAATGACGTGGAAGATGAAGAAGATGAGGAGAACGAAGAAGGCAATAGTTTTGTCTTCCAGATTGATGAACGCTTGTTGATTGATCCTCGTTTTGTTTTGCTTGACAAAATGATCGGTGAAGGCTCTTACTCTACTGTTCATGAAGGATTGTGAGTTCTTTCATTTTTTTTCTCTCCACTTTTTCCCCCCTTCTTCCATTTTTTGGGTGTTTTGCGTTTGGCTTTCTTGATATTGGCTTGACTAGGTTAATCACATTCTTTGCATGTTCTTGGAAATATTTTGTTTTTTTTGGTTGGACTTGTTTGGATTTTTCTCCTTTTCTTTGAATTCAATTTTGTTCTTATCTTTCTTTATGACATTTGAATTCTGCCCTTTTGTAGTTTGTACTGATAAAAATTTCAAGGGTTTAAAGTGGTTTATCTTTTTTTTTTGTAACATGATGTGTTTAAGTATTGGTGAAAAAAATGGGTTCTTTTGGAGGAGGGATTTGAGTTCCTTTTAGTTTAGGGTGTAAGTTTTGTTGATTACTGTGTTTAATGTCGAGATGCAAGCTTTATCTTCTTTTCTGTGGTCCCTGTGTTCCTTCAAGTGTTCTGTTGCTTGGAGTTATGATCGGTGGATTTCGAATTTGCACCGCATTTGGATAAGTTAGATCACTACTAGTTTAGCTTGTTGTTGATATTTCACACTTGAGAGCATTGATGAAAACTTCCTGGAGGTATATTTTAGGTTATAATGATATTTAGCTGATAGTGCCAATTTTTGTTGACATGATAAAAGATTCATCAGATCATCAGATGGATTTGAGATTGACTCTTAACTACATATAGCTGTAGGTGCCACATGCTGAGATTCTAGTTAATAGCATAGTTGACTGTTAAAAGATACATCATCAGATGGATTTGAGATCGACTTGCTGTGCGATCTTCACTAATAGCATAGTTGACAGTTGAAAGATTCATCATCCGATGGATTTAAGATCAATTCATCATCAGATGGATATGAGATCGACTCTAATTTCATTTAGCTTGCACACGTGTAGTGTGGACTGCAATGCAATTTTCATTAATAGCATAGTTGAAAGTTCAAAGATCCATCATCTGATGGATTTAAGATCGATTCATCATCAGATATATTTGAGATCGACTCTAAATACATTTATCTGTTAGAGCCACGTGTAATGTGGACTTCGGTGCAATTTTCATTAATAGCATAGTTGGCGCTTGAAAGATTCATCATCCGATGGATTTAAGATCCATTGTCAAATGAATTTGAGATCGACCCTAACTACATTTAGCTTGCACATGTGTAGTGTGGACTGCAAGGCATTTTTCATTAATAGCAGAGTTTACTGTTCAACGATCCGTCATCTAATGGATTTAAGATCGATTCATCATCAGATAAATTTGAGATCGACTCTAACTACATTTATCTGTTAGTTTCACGCGTAATGTGGACTTCAGTGTAACATTAATAGCGTACTTGACGGTCGAAAAATTCATCATCCGATGAATTTATGATCAATTATAGTTGTTTGCTAGTTGAATGGACACACCTTGGATATCGTGTCAAATTTCCTAAGCAGTGGTGGGTAGCATATCAATTCTAAAGACCTGTCATTATCATGTGTTTGTACATAAGTTATAAGTTGAACCCCTTCAAAGGTATCTCATTCCGATACTGTCTGCTCGAAAGTGCCCTGTCTATTATAGATGCCTGGTAAAAGTATTTCTTCATTGCCCTGTATTTCAGCAGTTGGTTTATGGCAAAGGAAGGCAAAAGGCTATTTGTTCCTGAAGGCCAAAACAAAAGCTTATGCTAATGCTTATTGATTATGTGCTATTATGTTTGGCATTGTTCAAATTTGATTGGATGCTTGCATATTGTGTTCTAGAAGGCTATACCGTTGCAATAAATTTCAATTTTCTATCAATGGATGATTTTGATTTGAGATACTGACGGTTAATTCATTTTATTCCAGCTACAAATCCAAACCTGTTGCTGTGAAGGTTATTCAGCCAAGTAATCCGTCAGCTGTAATTCGTGAACATAAAGAGAAATTTCAGAGGGAGGTTTTACTGCTGTCAAGGATGGACCATGAGAATGTTATAAAGGTTTCTAGGTTTTTTGCTCTCGTATATAAAAGTTTCTCATAGCTTTTAGTGTGCCTAATTTGGTCTTTCCACCTTCTGTCTCTTTTGTTTCGAGCTCCTGACAGAAAACAACGATGATTAAGATTTGATGCTGTCTGCTTTCCATGTATATTGCCTTACCCTCCTAGCTAGCCAACCTGCCAACAGGCTACATAAGCAAACTAAGTTGTTAGATTTGGTGTGGTGATACGGTTTCCCTGTGAGTCGTTGTATATCCATCTATGGAAGATGTTCATTTTGAACTCTGATATTTGTCTGAAAGTATAAAACTTTGCTGCAGCTGTGTATATTATCTCACAATCTTTCCATATCTAGTACTAATTATCCCAACTATAAAGTTGCAGTCACCGGAAATATTTGTTCAAATTGAATATGCAACCAGTTGAATGAATCTAAATTTGGTTTGATTATGGTTTTGTGCATGAGGTGTGACTGCTGGCGTGTCAAGATACAAATACTTATGACTTTCTTGTATCATTGAAGTTGATTTTCTGGCCATTTAAACTTACTTTGTCATCTCAAACTGGCATTCATGTCTGAATTAATTCCCTTGTCGTTGTAATTTGGATCTGCTTTACTGAAACAGTTCATCGGTGCTTCGGTGGAGCCAACTATGATGATAGTTACTGAACTCATGAAAGGTGGTACTCTTCAGAGGTATTTGTGGAGCATGCGGCCCCAGCGTCTCGAACTGAAGCATTCATTATTTCTTGCATTGGATATTTCCCGAGCTATGGAATACTTGCATGCCAATGGCATTATTCATCGTGATCTGAAACCGAGTAATTCATTCTCTTTTCATCTCAATATTATGCCAGCAAATAATCTATTTCTTACAACAACAACAACAACAAAACCCAATTCCCATATGTATGGGGTAAGGGGAAATAATCTATTTCTTACATATCCTTAATATCATGACAGGTAATTTGCTTCTCACCAACAATAAAATGCATGTCAAGCTAGCTGACTTCGGGCTAGCAAGGGAGGAAGTAATGGGTGGAATGACTTGCGAGGCCGGTACTTACCGTTGGATGGCACCCGAGGTGCTTTTCCTATAATGCTTCAAAACAATATCTAGTAGTGGCTTATCTTCTAGTTCTGGTAACGACTTACTCGTTTTCTTTTATCTGAATCAGTTATACAGCAGAGATCCGCTCCCCATCGGAGCAAAGAAACACTACGACCACAAAGTCGATGTGTACAGCTTTGCCATTGTTCTTTGGGAGTTATTGACGAACAAAGCCCCATTCAAGGGAAGGGATAGTGTACTAGTGGCGTATGCAGCAGCAAAAGTAAGCTGAAACCTTCTTGATTCTCATGTCATTACTCGAACAATATCTAATTATATGTCTTTTGTAATCTTCAGAATGAAAGGCCTAGCTTGGAAGGTCTTCCAACAGAGATTGCATCTCTCCTGCAGTCCTGTTGGGCAGCAGACCCGAAGATTCGTCCGGAATTTAAGGAAATCTCTGCCTATCTCACAAGCTTCATCTACCGATGTTGCTCTGCAGAGACTAAGCCTCCTAAGATGGTCGAAATCGATCGTTCCGAAAGCCATGCAGAGGAAGAGAGCTTGGATACCGGCCATGTTACGAACAAGTGTAACGACGAGGGAAAGAAGAAGAAGACTTATCCATGCCTCATCTGCTTCGAAGATTGCTTATGAGGTAGGAGTGTTGGTCATGTTTTGAAAGCAAACAGAAATTTATAGAGGTGTCAATTGGACACCAATGCTTTTTTATATACCTAAGAAACAATAAAAAAATAGTTGGTTTATATAAATGTCTCTCTCTTGCAAGTACAAGAAGAAGAGCAGTGCTTATATAAATGTCTCTCTCTTGCAAGTACAAGAAGAAGAGCAGTGCTTATATAAATGTCTCTCTCGCAAGTTCCTTTTTTTTTCAACTTGGACATCTCTTACTTCTCTTTTCAACGCCATGAAAGCAGGTAATTCAAAATTTTAAAATATAAATTTATAACATGCAAAATTGACCCGGCCACTAATTATTGTCCATCTGCATATGCTGAAGCCACATGATCTTGGCGGAAATTAAGAAGATGAAACCACTGAAATTCAGAACTAATCCCCATGCAATGCTCTTCTATTAAGTTGAACCTTAACAACTCTATTATTTAGCGGGGAGAGTTGTCGTAAACAGCTGCCACATGTCGCATGGCCACCCACGTGTCAACACATAACACCCCGTGGACCACTTTCTTCTATATATAAGACCAAACCAATCCGTCCCTTGTTTCGACACTCACAAAACAATGCTGAAGGAGACATTGGTTTTCCCAATTTCGATTCTCGCTCTTCTCTTCGTTGTCGCTTCGACCACCTTGGTTAGTGCGGAAGCTTACTCGCATCGACATGCTTCGACTGTAGGTCAGTTGGTTCTTAGGCATCACAGGAAGCTCTTAACTCAGACAGAACAAGGAGAAATCTCAGCTGCTTCTGTCACTGATGGAGAAACAGGCACATACCACCTTCAATTCATTACCTTGAAGCCAAACTCCTTGTTCCTTCCCGTTCTGCTACATGCAGACATGGTTTTGTTTGTCCATACAGGTGCCCTGTTGAAACTTATCGCTTCTAGAAATACATTATATAATGATAAATTAACCTAACATTTACACAAATAGTAATTTTAATTTTTAATATTTTAAAATATTTCAATTAATTGTTTTTAAATATTTCAATCTGAACGTTTTAATTTTTCATCAAAATAATCTATATTAGATTAAAATTGTTAATTAACTTATGGTTAACATATGTAATATTTTCACATATATTTAATTGATAACGTGATGTATGTTCCATCATTACTTTAATGACGTGATATATATCATGTTATTATTTAAAATAATATTGTATTTGTCAATTTATTATTTTATTAACATGACACATGTTACATCAACAATAAAAGATAAGTGAAATGTCACGTAAAGAACAATATATGTGTTAATTAACTAATAATTTTCATTAAATATGAGTTATTTTGATATGTTGGGATTGAAAAAATAGGGATCAAAATGTTTATTTATACAAACGTTGAGGTTAATTTTATTATTACGTCTATATCAATAATTAAATACAAGTGAAATGTCACGTAAAAAATAACACGTTAACCGTTAATTAACTAATCATTTTCAATAAATATGGGTTATTTTGTTAAGTTGAAATCAAAAAATAAGGATTAAAATGATTATTTATACTGTAAATTTTATTATTACGTTGAATGAATTTAAAATTCTGGGTTTTGAAATAAAAACTTTTGGTTAGGGAGCGGAACTTTGAGTTGGGCAGATGATGATGATCTAAAGAATGTGAAGATTCGGGAGGGAGATATATATAGGCTGCATCAAGGGTCGGTTTTCTATGTACAAAGCAGCTTAGAGGCTGAAGGACACAGGCTTCGAATTTATGCAATCTTCACCAACTCGGAAGATGATATTTATGTATGATATTTCTTCTTCCCTCTCTTTTATCCATTCGTTTCCCTTTCTTGTTTGAACTATGTTAACAATTTCAGGAGCCATCCGTTGGGGCTTACTCGAGCATTACTGATATGGTTCTTGGCTTTGATTCCAGAGTCCTCCAAGCAGCTTTTAAGGTATGGTTTTAAAACTAGTATAAATATTCCTGCAAGATTCTGTAAATGGAAACTTGTGTCTCAAGGTACCCGAGGATGTGATCGAAGAACTTATGAGAGCAAGCAAACCACCTGCTATAATCCACGTCCATGCAGTGCAAAAGGAGAAGATATTTGGCGATTGGCAAGCTCGACTGTTGAAAGCCTTTCTGGGTAGCAACCGAGGTGGCTTCGTCGGCAAGCATAAGAAAAAGAAACCATACAATGTATTAGAAGCGGATCCTGATTTCGAGAACTGTAACGGATGGAGTGTAACCGTAGACAAGAAAGATATGCATTTGTTGAAACATTCTAACGTTGGGATTTTCATGGTGAACTTGACCAAGGTTGATTTTTTTGCTACTGATTTCCTTAAATGGTAACATTCGATATGTTAAGATGATACATTGAAATGATGAGTATCTTTTGTGAAGGGTTCGATGATGGCGCCACATTGGAATCCAAGAGCTTCTGAGATAGCGATAGTGTTGGAGGGCCAAGGCATGGTTCGGGTGCTTTGTTATAGCAGTGCCAAGGAATCCGAGTGCAGAAACATGAGGTATAGAGTCGAGGAAGGTGATGTATTCACGGTGCCAAGGTTTCATCCAATGGCTCAGATGTCATTCAACAATGATTCATTTGTTTTCATGGGGTTCAGCACGTCGACCAAGAAAAACCATCCTCAATATCTAGCGGGGAAGAAGTCTGCTCTAAAGAGCCTGGATAAAGAGATATTGGCTTTTTCGTTCAACGTGTCCGATTCAACAATTGATGACCTTCTAAAGCCGCAGAAAGAATCAGTGATATTGGATTGTACATCATGTGCCGAGGAAGAGGAAAGGTTGATGGAGGAGGAAATTGAAAGGGAAAGAAGGGAAGAGGAAAAAGCAAGGAAGAAAAAGGAGGAAGAGGAGGACAGATAGAGAAGGAAAGAGGAAGAGGATGCCCAGCGATAACCTCCGCAACCACGGCAACCGCGATTTAGTACTGTATGCTGTCTATGCCCCGGGTAGATTTTCCAGTCCTTGGTTTTGCAGTAGTAGTACCGAATAAGGAAAACTGCCCAATGATGTTTGCTATCTATGTTTAGGTAATCGGACTCCATGTCAAGTGTGTGCAGAAAAGTTTTCTAACCATGTTTTCTGGGTCTTCATCTTTAAGTAATTAAGCTCTTTCTCGTTTTTCTTTCACTTGTTTGCATTTTGGACCAACCCCTAATTTTAAACAACCTTGTTTGCGCACTTCGCGTGCTTGCCATTAGAGAAATGATATGTCAAACGAGCAACCAGGGAATTATAAACAAATGAAGGTTAATAATTCACAATGGACATAAAAAAAAGCTAGTCTTAAACCAATAATCACGTACTGTAAGAGCTAGCAAGGACACTTGCCTCCATGAGTACCTATCTGTTTTAAACCGATAATCAAACATTAAACTCTTATCGACTAGTAAAGAAATAAAGTCTTCTAAATTTAATATTGAGTAAATTGACAAATTAAAAATCTTTTGAAGGAAAAAAAGCGTCTTCTATACATAACGTTTTCAGGCATTCTTTTTCTTCAACTATACAAATTTATTCGTTCGATAGATATTAGTTTATACAGCCAGTCCAATATTTTAAACCCCAAAATTCATTTATTTGAAGTTCACAGAAATTACTCAAATAACCAAATACCACATTTTAGCTGAATTTCATAATTAAAATCAATGTCCAAATGTCTAATATTTAGTCGTTTTACAAGCTCATACATCTGAATCATCTTATAAGCGCGATCTCTAAACCCAATTACAAATACAAGATTTCGATAGGCCTTAATTACAACAACCCTAACCTTTAACTATCTACCAATGGTCCAACTAAACTCGAATGACCCATTACCCAATACTAAACCTAAACCCATTAGTTAACTAGGTTACCCAAGCCTACTAAGCCTATCAGTCTACTCAAACGTTTTTACAAGTAAACCCAGATCGATCCAATGGAGCCCCATCAAATGAAGCAACAACAAAATCCCTAGACCCTAGTAGAGTAGTAGTGCCTCAGCCATTGTCGGTAGTGAGACTGCTCATCTCCCAAGTTCGCCAAGTCGAAAACCAAGGAAACAAATCATCAGCATAGTTAATGTCAGTCAGCTACCGCGTTATCAGTGGTGGACGCACGTTAAACTCACGGTGGTAGACAAATATGATAGGTCAGCTAATTTTAGTAGTGATCCATTTGCCTGTAATGGAGGTCTTGGCAGTCCTGCAGATGTCTTCATGCCCGGATACAACCTTACGACCTTCACTCTTCTTTAATTGATCAAATTTGAAAACTTAACCCTCAAAATCAAATGAATAGAATATACAATCATTGAATGTAAAATAATTAGAACTTGTTATTGATCTTTTTGGTTGTACATATCATGGTAAACCTGGTAGTACGTCAGATCTATGTGACTTGCCACTGTTGGCTAAAAGAACTAGGCACATCAGGGGATATTGGGAAGAGGATGAAAAGCTTTATTTGTTTGTTCTTAGAGGTTTATTTTGATTTATTCTTTTCGCCCGGAAAGTATTATACATTTACCACACCAATTGTTGATAGTACAAATGGAGTTGTGACAGCTTTAGACTATTTACTCTTCTTGATCTAAGCAGAGCCACGACCGATAATTATGTGAAGTAGGTAAAGAATAAATGAGCTCATGAAGATAATAAAATAGTATTAGATAAACAGAGTGTGTCCTGTAAACACTAATTTTTTCATTTTATTATTATTATTATTATTAAAATTATTATTATTATTAATATTATATATTATATATATTATTATTATTTAAAAAATATTACAAGCAAAAAAAAAACTGGAGTCCAGTTTTACATAACCAGAACCGGCCCAATCAATCAGGCCCAATAGAGTCGGCCCAAAACAAACCCTAAAACCCAGTTAAGGTTTTATCATTTCAACCCCAGCCGCCAATGATCTCAGCCGTTGGATCTGAGAGATCCAATGGTCCACAGATGGTTCCAGCAAAGGAAGCCCTAGGATTT